CGCCCCCGCCCCCGCCCCCGCTGGCGAGTGTTCCACAGGAAACTTTTTCGAGGCAGCTGCCAGCCCCGGAAAACCGGTCCCGCTCTGCGCCGCTCCCAGTCTGGGCCCCACAGCTCTGCCACAGTCCAAACAGCCCGCGCCCTCGTCTCCCCAAGAAACACTCGAAACTTTTCTAGTTGTCTATTTTCTCTTTCTGCTCTTCTGATTTTATTGCTCCATTTATTGCAAAGATTCATCGAGTTAGAAAAAGAAATGACTTGCCAGTGGGTTAGGGATCAGACCTAGACGAACCATTTTTGAGCAGAAGAGGGTACTGAGTGAACCCCAGGGCTGCCACAGCTCGGCCTTCTAAAGCCACTAGCCTAGCCTAGGGCAGCTCAGAATGGACAAAGCTGTTGCGAAGTCCCTTCGAGGCGGGCTGCATCTTCTCTGGCCCCAGGCTAGTTGGTACCTCCCTGGCTGTTGCTCACTCGGAACCGCACCTGTTCACAGGTGCTTGGGGTTAAGACTGACTGACTGAGTCTCTGAAACCCCGGCTGCTCCGGATCCTGTTTGCAGACGCGTTTGAAATGTGCAGAGAAAGTTCTTGCCTTCTTCCCAGTCTCCAGCGTTCGGGCCAGGTTTCATTCATTCGCTCATTCATTGCAAAAAGTTTCCGGGCGTCCAGGCTGTTCGCCACCGTTTCCCCTCAAAGCACAGGGGGTCTGAGACACACGGATTAAAGACATGTGACAAACTTGATTTAGCCTTGAGAAGTAAGGCGCCCCTTGAAGCATTTATGGGAAAGGGAGTCGGTGCGTAAAACTAACCGCATTCTAAGCTCTTGGACTGCAAAGAGCACATTAGAAAATGTCCCGGAGATGCTTACTTTCTCTGGAGCTCACAGACTGCGTTCTGCGCACACGAACTCCAGGGTCAGGACGCGAAGTGGGGGATTTGTTTCCTGTTTCTTTTTAAATTAAGAATGTTCTACTTCTAAGAAGGTTTATACGAATAATTTTTCCCACTAAACTCGAGCTCACCATTTCTTACCCACTGTTCTGATGTTTGTAATTATTCTCTTTATGTATTGGTGAATTTTGTTTACTTCGTGTCTGTTTCAACGCACGACTTTGACCTCTTTACATTCCTTAACCTCCAAGCTTCGGTGAGCTCTGTAATGGCCACAGCCTGTTTGAGGAAACGGGTCTCACTAAAGAAAATTCCCTGTTAACGGGTGCGGAGAAAGCCAACCACCACCTCTCCCCAGAAACAAACCTGGGTGTTCTGGATCGAATTTTCTCGTTAATTAAAACGTGATATATACCATTAGCGAAATTACATTTTCCAAAAATTCAAATCTTGACAACTCCACTACACGAAATATTGCCCCTTTAAAACACAGTTTAAGAATTCCTGGATGATCAGTAAAACTCTTCTGGCTCTTTCTGTGAGCCTGAAATTAACATTTCATAATGAGAGAAGGGCAGGTGAGCTAGTTAATAGAAAGTTACACTTTTATATATACACTTAGTTTTTAGAAATCAAGTCACGGAGTCACGAAATACAACACTGAACTTTGGAGAGAATCTTTACTAAAGGGATGAAGTGTTCATAAGTTAAGACTTTTTAAAATTTTTTTTAAAAAAACAATGCGGTTTAGGGTGTAGGGAAATGCCCCGTGGCCCCCGATGGCAAAGACTGTTTTAGCCTGTCTAAGGGGCAAGTCCAGACCAGGCAAAAGAATCCAGGATAGATCATTGGGCTCTCTAGTTGCAAGGCTCTGTGGGAGGGTAGCGGCTTCATGACTCCATAGGGATTAGCCGCATACCCCTCTGACTTGGGGGAGGGGAAGAAAGGTGTTTGACCAGAACTTGACAGAGAACCTATACATTTTTTCTTATTATTATTTTCAAGGAAAAGGGAGGCATGAAAGAGCATGGAAACTTTGCTTTGCGAGTTGACATTATGGGGATTTTTGTGGCTGGCTTGGGGAAGTTCAGCCGGACTAGCAGACCAGAAGGCAGATAGATGGCCCCAAGCATGGGAATGAGCCTTGAACACAATGTTGAAATAAGGCACACTTTTTCCAATTACAGGACTTTTTTTCTCCTCACCCCACAACCATCACCTCCCCTTCCCCTTCCCAACGTGTTATTTTTTTCTCTTTCTTTCCTGACCTCAAACTGCATAAAAATAACCCTAGTCTGTCCAGAGCCCAGAAATTTTTCAGATTGTGTTTTACCTAGAAATGGTCTCTCTATCAACATTACATGTCCTCTATTTATTCTGTCCCTTTCTCTTCCAATCCATTCTGTTATCTGAAGGCCTTGAGCCCTTTGTAACTTTTAATTGTTCGGGTTTTTTTTAATAGCTAAAATTTATTGAGGTCTTAGTCCAGACTAAGTGCTTTGTATATAGTATCTCATTTAATTTCGTCAAACATTTTTTTCATGTTTTTCAATTATTACCCCCATTGTATAGGCAAGGAAATTGAGGCACAGAGAGATGAAGTAACTTGCCCAAAGCCTCACAGTTAGTAATCCGAGGAGCCTGGCTTCCAACTCAGGCAGTCTGACTCCAGAGCCCACTTGTCAACGACTGTTGAAGGGCCTGTGCATATTTTGAGACTGTGTGAAGAAGAGCCAAATTCAAAAAAGCCTTAGGGTAAGAGAGATCAGATGACATTAGCTAGGCCCCTGAGCTATCCAGTTCCCCCTTCCCCCTTTTAGCCCTCAAGCCCTCCTAACAGAAATAACATGGACATTATAAAAAGAAATGGAACCCGGTCATAGCCTAAGAGTAGGCAGTGACTGGCTGAGCAGAGATCACTGAGTAGATCACCTCATGGGGAAAAATCATGGATTTCAAGCTTGAGAAACTTCCAGAAACAACAACAACAATTTTCAATGCTTAAAAAAATTAAAATCCATTCCCATTCCTTCCAGAGAGTTTTTTTGGCTGGAAAAAAACCTTATTCAGTGAGGATTTGAAAGAGGCTGTGTTTATGAGGAATCACGCTTAACAGACCTGAGATGCTAAATGGCAAGGTTACAGCCAGTTAGCTCAGTTGGTAGGAGTACTGTAAACATGGTAGCAGGGGCATGGATTTGACCCCCCAGAGGGCCAGTGTGCATCTCTCTACTTTTTGGCTCTTGATAGCACCTCCTCTCTTGCAAGCCAGCTGTGCCTTTTACTGGAAAATAAAACTCCAAAGTTTGTATTTCCATCTTTGTATATAAAGAACTACATATTCATTTTTTCATATAAATTGCTAATAATCATAATATGGAAAAATCACACTGCAATGGTATGTGTGTGTTTTGAAAAATATATATTCGAAAGATTCTCAGCTGTTTTTCTTGTTTTCATTAATGCATTAAGATTGGCTTTCTATATCTTAATAGACACGTATTTAATAAATTGAATCTCATAAAATGCTTTATTAATATTTTCAAGTACATGCAAAAAGGTCTTTCCTTTACTGTCTTTTCTCTATTCTGACATGTGAAAATGAGTCAATGTCTTGTAATCTTCTGTTAGCAGAAGTTTGCTGTCTGTATTACTGGGTCCTGGATGGGAATATTGAAATAAGGTTATATAGTAGTTTTGAAAAGTAGATTCACACATCTATGATTCCAAACACTCCTATTCTCTCTCTCTCTCTCTCCCTCTCTCTCTCTCTCTCTCTTTCTCTCTCTCTCTCCAATATACCTGTGAGTGGCTGGGGCAACATGTCTGAAAGATCCTCAAGAACTCCTAGTAGAGAGAGGAACCTTCTTTGGGAACCACTGGGCTAAAGGACCTTCTTGAGATTTTTTTTCTCCTTATGAGACACTTGGGCAACTGTAGAATTTCCGCCATAGTTCCTAACACTCTTGCCACCAATCTTTCTAATTTTTCCTATGTGCCACTCCTCTTGGGACGATGCATCAAGCCACATAATGTTTCTCAGGCTAAAGGTCATGAAATGTGCCTTCTGACCATAGTTTGCAAAGCTTCTGCTGCTTGTCATGGAATGCTCTTAAGCTCGGCATGATTTGAGCTATTCTTGTTTCTAAAATGGGGCCATGGAAACTTGATCCCAGTTGAACATGGGTCTTGTTGCTATTGAAAACTGGAATGCTACTCTAAAAAAAGACAATTGTTTTATAAAGAGAACTAAAACAGGGAAATTAAAACCAAAGGACATAAATTTCTGAAGTTGGTCATGAGTCCAA